TAATTATATAAATAAACAAATGTGTGTTTTGCACTAAATTTTTTTAAATTACAATCTCAAAAGGGTTTTTGATTATTACTTTTAAAGGCATCACAATTTCCTGGATTAATTACTATATGTTCACTTTTCTGATGAGTTTACAGTTTAACTGAGGTAATTGAGAATTTGCAGTTGAATTAACAGTTTACAGAGATAATTGAGAAAGTGATAATTCAAATGATAGAGAGATGGCCAGAATTAATCTACACAGTCATTCACTACTATTTGTCAAATGCTTATGATAGCAAGACATTGGAGAGATAGCGGTGAACAAAACAGAATCCAAACTTCATGGAGGTTATTATTTAGTGTCAAAGCGAGGCATTTGGTAGTTAATTATACAAAAGAAATAGGTGCTTTCAAGCCAAGTAGTATAGTAAGAAAAACAAATGAAGATTACTAAAAGAAATCTTAATGTGTACTTCATTTAAATTGGGGCTTGTCAGTAAAGGATTCTCTGAAGATATGATAGGATAAATTACCTAAAAGATATTGTAGATTTATTCAGGTAAAGAGCTGGAGGAGGAACATTTCAGGCTGAGACAAACACATAGAAGGGTAAGACAATAGGAAAGTGCCTAGTAAATGTTATGGTTTAGATTAGATGCCCCCCCAAAATCTCATGTGTGAGACAATGCAAGAAAGTTTAGAGATAAAATGATTGATTTATAAGAGGTTTACCCCAATGAGCACATTAATCCTTGATAGGGATTAATAGGGTGGTAATTATAGGCAAGTAAGGTATGACTAGAATATGTGGGTTCCTGAGGGCCTTCCTTTGGGGTTTATATTTTGTCCTGATGAGGACAACTTTCTGTTCCATAGCTGCTTTCCTCCAGCACACACTTCTGCCATGGTATTCAACCTCACAACAGGACCCAAGGAATGGAGCCGGCTATCTATGGACTAAGATTGCTGACATGATGAGCTCCCAAATAAACTTTTCTTCTTCTAAATTGTTCTTGTCATGTCTTTTGGTCACAGCAACAAAAAAGCTGACCAAAACAGTAAGTTTCAGGAAAAGGTTAATGTGACTAAAATATAGTAAAGGAGAGAGGAAAGCTAGATTGTGAAGAAAAGGTCATATCTTGCAAAACTTTTGGCTGTGCTAGGAATTTTGCATTTGATGTGCAAGGGAAAATTATGGAAAAATTTTGAAATGAAAGATATTATTATCAGTGTTTTTAAAATATTGCTTTGGCTGTTGAGTACAGATGGATTGGAAGGAGACAAGAAAGAAAATAGTTAGAATATTAGGAACTTGTGCCCAATGGTCAAAAGATAAGATAGTAGATTGAGCTAGAATGATGATGATGACAACAGAATTGGAGAAAAGTGGATAGATTTAAGATATGTGTTAGAGGCAGTACTGAGAGAATATGCTAATGAGCTGATTTGGTTTAGGAAAGAATGAGAAAACAAGATTTTGACACTGTTGTCTAGCTGATTAATAATTGATAGTGTCTTTGATTAGAATCCACGATGAAAGATCTGATATTGGGGTACTGAGACATTTTTGAGATTTAATAATTCTACGGTGTTCTAGATATTTATACTTTATTGTCACTTAGCCCTGTGCCCCAGTTTTTTGCTCCATGAAAATCTTGACATAGATTATAGTGTTCCTGGATCTAAGATACTACATTTAATCAAGGTCAAATGAAAAAGCATAATGAATATTTTAAATTAAAATATTTACTATTTTAGACTTTCTGCTCCAAGATTACAAAACAGTATGTTCTTAGTCTCCAATTAAAAAACTTGGAAGACAGTAATCAGCCAAGAACATAGTATTATGGCTAAACTTAGTGATAAAATGAGTTGGCTTTACAGAGTATACTGCATATAATATTAACATTAACTTTTTTTATTCATTAAGATTTAAGGTTTTCTCTCTCATATTGAATGCAAATTTGGTAGGAAAATTTATGCTGCCTTTATCTCAAACTCATTTAAAAGAGAACTCATCAGTTTTCTGTGATTCACTATTTGACAGTGAATGAGAGTTTTGAATATACGAGGAGGGAAAATGGATCCAGGAGAAGGTAGTGGGGTAGAAGCCATGGTTTGCCACAGAAATCTTCTAAGACAGAATCACAAAATCTACAGGAGTAGAAAACACAGCCTATCACTTGGGGCTAAAATAGGTGGCCCAGAATATTCATAATTTCTACATTATAATTGAGTAATAGGATCACAGCATATAAAAACAATGTAGGTAGGGTAATGATAGAAACAATAATGAATAGCATTCATTGATATGTTTCAGAAACTATATTAAATGTTTTCCTTATATTAATTACATGAAACCCTTTGACGTAAGTACACTTTTATCATCATGTTTGAGAATAGAACATGAAGCTCTAAATCATAAGTCATTTCACCAAAGTTACATAGATTGTAAATGGGAACATGAAATGGTCAGATATATGAGTCCAGGAGTGTAATTTTCTGCCACTGTGCCACACTGCACCAGCACACAAAATGATGAAACTTTAGTGCCACAAGATAGAAAGAAAAAAAAATGAAAACATTATTTACATTGGTTGCCAAATATTGTTAAACAGTCCAAAAGAGGAAAAAATGTCTCTGTTATGTTAAACCATCGATTTACTATATAGAACTTCTGAAGATAAAGCTGACTACTTACCGCAATGTAAAACTATTTTGAGATTTTGATTAATGTAATTTCTTACAAATCTTCAGGCATTTGAATTTCACACTATAGCTCCAGTTTTTGTGAACTTCATCCTTGTTTCCTCCTTCAAAATTTGTCTTAATTATGATTGCCATTCATTTTCTTCCATTTTTATTTTTATTGTTCACCCTTGTTCTTAAACCACTTTGGTTGAATACTTTGATGATCTTTTCTAACACAAATTATATGTTGATACGTGATACTTCATTGAAAACTGCTTTACTTGAGTTTGTAAAAAATGAGAGAATTCTTTAAAAAATGAGAGAATTCATCTCAATTTTGCAGGAGTTATAGATGATATAATAATAATTGCCTAGTTATATAAACTTCTAAAAAGGTTTCAGATAAAATGATGAATGTCAATTTTTTCTTCTCATCCTTTAGCAACCCATCTATTATCTACTCTACCTCTACAACTACCTATTCTTTTTCTATCAGCAGCAATGTGTTAGCTCTCGTTTCTAGTGTCCTTAACTATACCTGACTGAACTGAGTTATCAGCAATGAATAAGCTTTTTAAGATAAGATGAGGGGCTAGGATTGTGGTTCAGCTTTAGAGCACTCACCTAGCATGTGCAAGGTCCTGGGTTCGATCCTCAGCATCACATAAAAATAAATAAATAAAGATTTTAAAAAAAAGACAAAAGGGACATTCTAATTGATAGGGGAAATCTATACTGTATACAGGAAAAGACTTGAAGGAAACATGGAAAATTGGCGTGGAAGTGAATGCTAATAGGAGATGAAGTTGATAATCTGGGACCAAATTCTGAGTCTGCCATGTAAAGAAATATGAAAAGGTACAAGGCTAATGGCAAACCATTGGGAGTATATTTTTCTTCTCTGTTCAGGTGCTTCTTGTACATCCTTGTCCTTTTGTTATTATTTAGGCTGAAAAACAAAGCTGGCCATATTTGACTTTTTACATCTCCACTTGTAGCACATTTCTTGAGTTCAGTCCCTTTATTAGCGTAACTGTGGTTGTGTATATGTGAAATTGTACTTTGGCATGAAGAAAGCCATGATTAATTCTTTAAGTAGAATCTTTGAAGATTATCAAGAAATTAAAAAATGCAAACAACAACAAAACATTTATTTTAAAACAAATTCATGTCCACTACTGAAGCCACGGGATACTATTTCTAAAAGACATTTCATCTTTTGTGCCGTTGCAGTTTTCCTCTATGCCAAAGAGCAATATATCATGATCAAGGGACTGCCACAAGTGGAGAAAAGCAATTACATTTATACACAGTTGTCCCAAATCCCTTCTAAAATAATCCAGATTTTACATAGATTTATTTTTGGAATTGACAGAATCTTAGCAGGACCATTTGAAGTGAAGTGCTATGCAACTCAGACCCTGTCTCTAAATAAATTTTTTATTTAGCCCTAGTTTGTAAATAGGGATGAGATGTGGGTCAGTGGTCAAGCACCCCTGAGTTCAATCCCTAGTATCTGTCCCCTACCCCACCCCCCAAAATGAAAAAGGTATTGCAACATGTGATTAGTTATTTCATGAGTATAGTGTGTGTGTGTGTCAGGGGTGGTGGAGAGAGAAAGATATTGAGAGACTGGTATTTTTTTGGAAACATTTATTAAATTGGACTAATTTTATATGTAGAATTTCACTCCAGAGCAACAAATTCTGAGAATATTTGTCTCTTTCAGCATCGTCTACTTTCAGGATAGGAGGTCTCTGCTTCAAAGTAAATTGCTCTGTAGAATTTTGCCACATTATTTGATCAAAGACCTGCCCTTCTCCTGAGACAAAGAATGTTGTCTATTACTGGCCTCATGCTGAGAGACCAACAGAAATGTGACAGACTTGATAGAAACCATGTAGCAGACAAAAGCCTGTCATCAGTCTTAGTGAGCTTGGAATGTTCACTGTTCTGATAAATATTGGTTTTATTCTGTGGAGCACTGTAAATATTGTTTGTAACAAGTATTTGTTATTTAAATTATAGAAGTTTTAAACAATTAAAAAATGTGGCTATGACAGGATGTGCTGAATGGAGTTCCATGCATTGTCTGTCCCACTCCCTCTCAATCACAAGTATATGGAGATCAGGACTGGTGAAATGGCTACTCTGCTTCCTGAAGTCTAGAGGTCTTAATATTTGTCACTTTAACTTTACCAAATAATAAGAAATGATTGATTTAAACAAATATCTTTGTAGTATATTGGAAAGTTCTTGGGTAAAACATGGCCAGGTCAAATCTTCCCATATTCTAATTAATGTTTACTTGATCTTATTAGGAGCATGGCATTCCTACTGACATGGGCTATGCAGTGGCTCCTCATCATTCAGGTGTCTACCCTGTACATGTACAGCTTTATGAAGCATGGAAGAAGGTTTGGAATATTAAAATCACCAGCACTGAAGAATATCCACATCTGAAACCAGCTAGATATCGGAGGGGCTTCATCCACAAAAACATCATGGTGAGCTTCTTCTGGTATGCATTGAGTACAACTAAATCTTCCAAGCTTACATTTCTCATTTGAAGCAGTATAAGAAGAGAGAGAGAAAAAAGTTAAAAGCATAAATGTAAGAAAAGCTCTATATTGTAGAAAGCACATTTGTCATATCTAAGCAAAGGATTTCTCAAAGTCACTTCTTTTCAATTTTTCAAATCTATTTATTTATTTATTTTTCTACTGGCACTATGGCTGGTAAGCCGGCACTGATGTGACAATGTAAGACAGTATTATATCAAATTGTCAAAAAGTTTTAGAAGCCATCATTTCTTCAAAAAGTTATTTGGTAGGTAAAACTGACACCAACCTGATATATTCACCATCTCTTTTATAAGCCAGTTACACTGAATTTTTTCTTACCATGGCAAGCTAAAAATAACTAAACTATTGGCAGCAAGAAGCCACATGTGAAATCCTGCATAATTATTAACTGAGGATAATACAGAGAATAAATGACAATATTAATTAAATCATTACTATCAATTGCCTAATTCTCTCCAGAGCTTCTCTGTTTTGTTTTGTTACTTTTACTCACTGGGCAAATGTATATTGTCAAGATATTCTGCCACCTTATACTTTGCAAGATGCCCCCCCAAAGGAAATATTAAAAATCTTAATTTTTCTCAAGTACCAAGAAAAGTACCAGTGAAGATAACAATGGATCCACTAATTTAGACTCACATACTGGGAAGAAAGACTGAAAATAACATGATATTTTGAACCACTGCAACTTTAAAGTTTGTATGTTTGAACAGATATCTTTGTTTTAACCAAGGTGTAACTGACTTTTTTAAAGACAGTTTTCTAATGTCAGTAAAAATTACAGGGGAAAATGACTTTTAACTTGGATCAGCTAACATCTTGACATTTCTCTCAATAAAAAAAAAATGTTATAAATGCTAGATGGAGATATAATGGTCACATTTTATCCCAGCCTGCCCTTGTTCGTTATTTGAAATGAACTTACTGCCCCTCAAGTTGCCAGTTTTCAGACCAGAAAGTTTAAAAGCATTCAATACTCCCTGTCATTTTAAAATTGTAGACAGTCTTATGACAGTGAAATTAATTCTCTAAAGACTTTATTTAATGTTGTTCTGTTTTATTTCTGTTTCAATACTGACAGAAAACTTGCTGGGATATGTCCCTTGAGAAATGTTCATTTTCTTTTTCTCCTGAAAAAATATTTTACCTATACTATAAATGCATGAATCTTGCAGGTAATAAAGCCTTTAACAGATTTTGTGTTTTGATAGAACTATCCCTGTGGTCCCACTTTTTCATGGAAACTTTCTATTTTGGTTTATAGGCTCTTGGATGAGAGTTTTTTAGTGAGAAATGTTCAGAAAGCAGTTGATTATGCAACAAGAGAGACAGGACACTTCTAGGAGCCATCCAAATACAAATACAGGTGGAGACCACAATAGCCAGTATGCCCTCATAGTAAGAGACTATACCAAAAAAAAAAAAAAAAAAAACAACTGAGGAGTGATCTCTAAATTCCATCAATAATTCTTTCTCTAGCACAAGAGAGCCATTTCAAGAAACATCTTCAGTGTCTTGAATTTTGTATTCAGTAATCAGAACAGTGGACTCTGACCCTTATCAAACTCCCAATTATCTCTTTAACCTCTTGTGGTGGTGCTTGGATTCTCCTAGGGTTTATGGTGATGTTTCTACTTGCATCAGGAGTAACCCTTAGTTGCAAGGTAAAGCGTGGCTTTTCCTCTTCAACAAATCTTATTTATTTATTTATTTACATTTTTCTCCGTTTAGTATAGAATTATCTGAGCAATAAATTATCAAGGACAGCTCTGAATGCATTCTGTAATTTTTCAAGTAAAATAATCAAGTGAAATCCTAAAAGTGATTTAGTTAGTCACATCCTTGTAACATGTAACACAACCTGGTATATAATCACATGTATTTTCTTATTTAACTTTTGAATATTTCTCTTTATTTGATGTATCTTAAATTTTTCAAGAGTAGAAAACGTGTCTTTTTATTCTCATATGGATTAGAATTCAGTTTAAATAACATTTTAAAAATAAATTATATATATTTATGTATGAAGACATATCTTTGCATATATATATATATATATATATATATATATATATATAGAGAGAGAGAGAGAGAGAGAGATCTTTATATTTTCCTATATAAAGATATCTTTATATAGAAAGATATCTATCTATCTTTAATTTCCAGGAAATAATATTTTTAAGAATCATTAGGAAATATATTTAATTTAATCATACTTCCTTTTTTAGTGCTTTTTTGGTGTTGTTGATTTTGTGATTTTGTGCATAGTTTTATGACATTGTATAAAAGCTTTCAAACAGTCATCACCAAATGATGACTCTGATTTAAACTTGTTCTTTAAGCTATTGTTTACTTAAACTACTAAGAAAACAACAACAGAAGAATTAGTATACTTGTAAAGTTTTGCAAAATGTGGAAAGTCCTGAACAGGCTATATTTTAAGAGCATATACTCAAAAAAGTTTGCTTTAATAGTTAAGACAATAAAAAATGAAGATTTACTTGCTTAGGGCAATAAGCAGAAAGCCTGCTTGTGTTAGATGCTCTAAAATTTGTAGCATTCCAAAATATATTCATTTATTTTCTGCCATTTCAAATGTACAGTGACAAACAGGTTGTCATGAGGTTATTATATGATACTAAGATGAAAACTGTACTATCTTGAACATCTTCTTTTATAATTTCACTGATATTTTATCAGGAAATCTATAAAAAATTAGTCTTTATCACAAATGTGTATAATTGATGAGATAATGATTTTCATACACAAAGCATGAAAAGAAAACCTTTACAGTAGTGACCATTTATCATTTTGTTTATAAAACTCTCTAAAAATTGTGAACCAAATGGATAAATTCTTTCTTATGTTTGAAATTAGTGGGTTTCACACCTAGAATTTTGGGCAGCATGATATAGTTCTTTCTAGAACTGATTTGTGCTTCAAATATTTGTTCTACTTTAAAATGTCATTTCCTAAGAAGCACATTAAGTAATTTAATAATGACTATATTTTCTAATGCTTGAGTACAACTTGGCAGAAGGTATTAATCTTTACATTTTTTGCCTACTATGATTACAATAGAGCACAGACAATTCCAATATTTGTAAATTTTCATTATTACTTTTTAATTTTTAAGATGCTAAAACACGCCAGGCGAGGTGGCTCAAGCCTGTAATCCCAGGTTGGGGAGATTGAGGTAAGAGGGTTGCGAGTTCAAAGCCAGCCTCAACAATTTATTGAGGCCCTGTTTCTAAACAAAATATAAACAAGGGCTGGGGATGTGGCTCAGTGGTTAAGCACCCCTGAGTTCAGTCCCCGATACAAAAAGAAAAAAAGAAAAAAAAAGATGCTAAAACATATTAGGTTTCATACTTAAAGTACTGACTTTGATACTTACAGTAGAAATGCAGTTAGAATAATTCAAGCCTAGTTTAGTTGTAAAATATTCTTTTAATTTTCTTCACTATTCATTCTCTTGTAATAGCATTCTCTCTTTCCCAGAGCTTAAAGCATTTTTCTGGACCAGAGTTAAAATTGACTAATGACAGCAGCTTGTATATCATCTTTTGTGAGAAAAATTTCAACAAAGTGATTTGTTGAGCGCAGTATTTTCTTCGTTTGGTCATTTTTTCTTCAGGTTCTTCCAAGACAGACCTGTGGACTTTTCACTCATACGATTTTCTATAAAGAATATCCAGGAGGTCCTAGAGAGCTGGATAAGAGTATCCAAGGAGGTGAACTTTTCTTCACTGTGGTACTCAACCCAGTAAGTATTTGGAGCTACTCTTCAAATAAACAATGAAAAATGGGGAATGGGAAAATAAACAAGGAGAGAAATGAATTACAGTAGATGGGGTAGAGAGAGAAGATGGGAGGGGAGGGGAGGGGGGATAGTTGAGGATAGGAAAGGTAGCAGAATACAACAGTTAGTAATAGGGCATTATGTAAAAATGTGGATGTGTAACCGATGTGATTCTGCAATCTGTATTTGGGGTAAAATTGGGAGTTCATAACCAACTTGAATATAATGCATGACATATGATATGTCAAGAGCTTTGTAATGTTTTGAACAACCAATAAAATAAATAAATAAATAAAAACAATGAAAAAATGACAGAAGCAGGTAAAAATAACACTTACATAGACAATAGGTTCGGGTATTTATCAGCTGAAGAAACATGAAGTTCCAGCTCTAAAACAATAGTGGAAATGTGAATGGGATCCCATCCCAAAGTGGGGACTCATTTATTCTAAAAGCAAAGGTGACATGAGGAGCTTCTGGCAGAAACATAAAAATACTCCAGAAGATCAGAATTTAGGGATTTTTGTGTTTTTGAAGAAAGATTTTTCACTTATAAAACTCTGCTATTTCTATTGGAGGCCATTTTTTTTGCACATTGTGAACAAATTCATCTATTAATTTGTTTCCTACTTAAGCCATAAACAAAAATATTTGTATCTGATAAGCATGAAGGAAATGAATTAGATAAGCAAATATAGTCATTATCCCTACCTTCATGTTACATTGTACATTGCTAGATCACAGAGTAGTCCTGTTTCAGGGAGTCCTCCTCTTCCTCCTTCACATCTTAATACCATAATATCAGTACCCAGTGAAACATTCTGCACATATTTCCATTGAGGCAAGTATTATAAAGTTGTTTAAAGATGGAAGAACTAATTTAAGTAAGCTGTATAAGGAAAAGCTGTTAGTGATTTTTTCCCCAGAAGGGAAATCACTAACATAAAAAGTAAAGTTAAGTTTATTTATCAGATGTATAGGTTTGCCACTGGCATTAGCAGTGTTCAAAATGAAAAATGCAAATTATCTCTAATGTGGAGAAAAAAAACTATCAAGATAAAAGTTGGATAAGATAGAAATAAACATTAAAATTTGAAAGACTACTTTCATGACTTCAATTTTACAGGTTCTACAAATTAAAATTTTTAAATCACCTACTCCTATTTAGTAATTATATAACTTTTTAACCCTTAGAAAATGAGATAACTCATATTTGGGAAAAATCTTCAGGTGTGTTAAAAAAATCAACATGCTTTGGAACAGTGTGGCATGTTCCAAATGCCACATTTCCAAAAGACATTTTGGAAAGTTTATCAACCTTCAGACCAAAAAGCATAAATAATTCTGATTTACATATTAGAAATAACCTGACAATCCTAAGTTACCTGTTTATTTATAAATGTAACTATCTTTTGAGTTACATGATATGACTCTTTTCTTTAGAAGAGAGCCAGCTATGCAAAGGCAAAAAGAGTTAAACAGATATCTAATTATGAACCAAAGATTCAGTTAAAATACTCTTAAAATGTTAACATTTTTTAACAATCTATAATTGTAAGGCCTTTTATTTATGAGCTATAAAATTCTTACATTTATATTTCCTCTAGTGATAGGGCAATAGGACTATGAACCATTCTAATTGATCAGACTTAGCAAACCTCACTGCTTTTCAGACCTTATCAACAATATTTGGCAATTTTAGTTATCTTGATGAAGTGATCCATAGGAAATAAAGTAGTTGGAGGACTTTACAAAAGCACTCTTTCTTGGTTCAGAAAATTTTTAGAAGATAATTACTTCCAGATAAATACTCAGACTCAAAATAAGTGGCAAACCTTGTCATATATTACAAGATAGACCAGGAATCTAAACCCCTCATTTGGTGCACCAGCTCCAGTTCTACTTACCTGAAGATTTGTGGTTGAGAAATCTAAATTAAACTCAACTGAGTCAAACAAAAATGAGTTTTGCAGTTGTTAGTGATGTCTGCCTTCAGGAAGTGATTGAGAAAATTTAGCATGTTTCCCATAAGTTCTCATACTGAAATTAAATGTTGGAATAAAAAGCTACCAGGTATCATGAGGCATACTATTAATTTAGCAGATGATACTCTTTAATTTTTTTATTTGTTCTTTTTAGGTATTCATGACAGTACAGTGAATTTTGCCATATTATACATACATGGAGTAAAACTTATTCTTATTAAGATCCCATTCTTGCAGTTGTACATAATGTGCAGTTACATTGTTCATGTATTCATGTATGAACATAGGAAAGTTGCATCCTATTTATTTTACTGTCTGTTCTATTCCCTTCTGCCCTTTCTCCCTTTCATTCACCTATGTCTAATCCAGTGGACTTTTATTCTTCTCTTCATCCCCTCACTCCCCACCCTGATTTTGGGTTAATATCCACCTTCAGAGAGAACATTCAGTCTTTGGTTTTTAGGGATTGGCTTATATAATTTTGCATGATATCTCTAGTTCCATCTATTTACTGGCAGATGCCATAATTTTGTTATTCTTTATAGCTGAGTATACATGTGTATACATGTCACATTTTCTTTATCCACTTATCTGATGAAGGGCATCTAGGTTGGTTCCATAGCTTTGTTATTATGAATTAAGCTGCTGTAAACATCGATGTGGCTGTGTCACTGTAGTATGCTGATTTTAATTCCTTGGGTATATACTAATAAGTGGAATAACTTAGTCAAATGGTGGTTCCATTCCAAGTTTTCTGAGGAAAGATGATATTTTTTATTAGATTAGAATAAGAATGAGAAATGTATATTTGCTGCAAGAAAAAATTAAGTTTTAATTATAGTAGATTTCAAAGATAACCATTGCAAGATCATGTAACACACCAGACCTCAATTAGTAGTACTATTTTCTGAGAATGCCAAATTAGGTTGTTCACTGAAAAAATTTAGATGTGTGCTGGAAACATGAAACTTAAAAACATTTATATACTTTTCATTTTAAAACAAAATGTAATAAAGACTTTAATGAAGTTTTAAATATCTTGTCATTTGTCAACATAATATCAAAGTTTTAGAATAATTGGTAAGAATTAGGGTGACAGATGATTGCAATAAAATTTTTTAGGGTTAAATTGGAATATATCACAAGAAAGATAAAAACCTGAATGGAATAACTTTCTCAACTGAGGTGTTTTACTGTTAGCAAAGTACTTTTTCAATAGCTAAGCAAAGAAATGTCAATTAAGTAAACTTAATAGAAACAAAAAGTTACAAAGACAAATGTTAGCAATGCCTAGGGGAGAGCAAACCTTGCCCATTTCTAAATGAATATTTCCCAAATCATAGACTTGGAAACCTCAGATGTGGGTTAAATGCAAGTGTTTGAGTAATAATTTTTTAGGTTAAGATCCACTTGGAAAGTGGACACATCAGGCTATCTGAGCCTGGGTCCTTTAAGAATTTAGTTCTGGTTCTTTTTTTTCTGATTCTGAACTCACTGTCAAGATACTTATCATAATTTGCTTTCCTTCTTAGTTAATACTATAGGAAAAAATGTGTTGATCACAGAAACTATGATAATAATTTCCAAATTAATTTTATAAATTGTCTTTTAATTGATAAATATTTCCCATGCCGTCTAACTGCCACAAAAGAATCTGCCGATTGCACGGATTCCATATTAATTTATTTTCTAATTCATAATTTCCCCATTTAAAACTAATAGATAGCATCTTATTTTTATTTATTAGTTTCCTAATTTGATGCTGTCCTGAGAAATGGACTGTGTCAGTGTTTAATTTCCAGTTCCACCTGTTTTAGGAAGATGATCTTAGGAAGATATTATAATATTTAACATGTTTTCCTAAGTATGATGAATGGAACCATTCCAATTTACATAAAATTTTACTATTGTGGCACCATGTAATCATTGTAGATATTCTAAGCAAAGATGTTGCCTTCTTACTTCACTGTTCTAATTTCTAACCACAGATGTTCTAGTCTTTGTTTACACTCCTTCTCAGTAAACACAATTTAGATATTGTGTCATTAATAATTGATATCAATGGAACATTTTTGCCATCTTCCAACATGCTTGATAATAAAGTCAGTACTTGCTTTATTTATTAATAATAAGTGGTTTTGTATTGCCACATTTCATCACATTTGCTTGGCATCCCTGATAGCTTAAGAATATTATACTTCCTTCCAGATCGGCATAACACAAAACCAGTAGCTAATATTTTATGTCCACATTTTATTAATTTTTTTCTCCATGTTTTCAATTTGCCATACCCTCAGTACCCTTTTATTTGCATTCCTGGAAGTTAAATCTAGGTTGTGTTTCTCTTATTAAAGAAAAAAACCAAAACAAAGGCATGCATGTGAATACAGTGAATATCCTATTATGAGAAGAAGAGATATAGGTGGATTACAATTAAGACAACAAAATTCATAAAAGAAGATAGCTTATATAAATAAAAATTAACTCACATTGAAGAAAATGTAATTTACATTTGTATGTTTAGTATGTGTTTGACTATAAAAATCATCTAAATTTTTTTTTGCCTAATGGAAATTGTTTGTTTACTTACATGTCTTTGTTGCAAAATAAGTAAAGAATAACAACCACAATTTTAGACAATGGGAAAGTGATACCTGAACATACTTAATGATGGAAACTCTCTAGGATTCTTGATAATTTTTTTTTTCTTAATGCATAAGATACTACAGGGGAAAGAACACTGCATATTTATTATGTGCTTAATGTGATTGTAATGATCAGATAAATTTGCAAAATTCTGTAGAGTAAGGAAAAGAAGATAAAAATTGAGGACCTCCTATGGTCAAGGTTTCAGAAATGAAAATGATTCTGGAAGAGGTGGAGGAGGAAGAGGAGGAGGGGGAGGGGGAGGGAAAGGGGCCAGAGAACTCTTTCGTTGGCTGGGAAATCTTAGAAGCCCCTCATTTTGTTTTCATAACA